TGGAGGACAAGAAAAAAGGTGTATCTTCAAAGAATGTGACATTAGCAGACATATAATACCTTTTGGTTGAGGGAGAATAACATTTATACCCTTTTTTAAGGCGAGAGTATCCCAAAAAGACACACTTAATAGCTTTTGCAGAGACTTTATCAAGACCTCATTATGAACAAAACAAGTACACCTAAATATACGAGGAGCGACATGGAAAAGAGGATCATTTGGAAAAATGAAGTGAGGGAATTTATTCTCAAGAGAGGAAGAAGACATCCTATTGATCAGAAAACAGACAGTAAGGACTGCATCACCCCAATGATGAACAGGAACATTAGTATTCAACATCAGGGAGCGTGCAGTTTCAATGAGATGTCTATTCTTTCTCTCTGCAATGCCATTTTGTTGTGAAGTGTGGGGACATGTTGACTGGTGTAAAATTCCTTGGGAAGATAAGAATGAAGAAAATGTTGCAGAAAAGTATTCCTTAGCATTATCACTTATGAGGATTTTAATTGTCTTCCCAAATTGGTTCTTAATTACATTAAAAAAAGACACAAATATTGCCAAAAGTTCAGATCTCTCTTTCATTAAATAAACCCAAGTACACCGAGAAAATTCATCAATGAAGGTTAAAAAATAATTAAAACCATAAGAAGTAACAGGACTGGTCCCCAAATATCAGTGAATAGTTGAAAAGGCAAAATTACATCGCGTCTTTACCTCAAACATGTTTTCCTAACTGACAAGACTCACAATCTAAGACTTGAATGTGTTTGAGACTTTGAACCATCATCTTCAACTTAGATAAGCTTGGGTGGCCCAACCGATCATGCAAAAGTTTCGGGGATGAAGTTGCAAAACAGGAAACTGAGGAGTTAGGTTTTAAGAAATAAAGTCCTCGTGGCTCATGTCCTTCTCCAATCAGACGACCCGTACCATGTTTCTGTATAACAAAGGAATTAGCAGAAAAGGTTACTAACAATTTAAGGAACGAGTCAATTGACTTAAAGAGATTAAATTGTAAGGACAATGAGGAATATACAAAACAAAATTCAATTTTAGTGAAGGAGATAGGGAAACTTTGCGAATCCCTGAGATGCAACTTTGGATCCATTGGCAACAGTAATAAAATGAGGAGTTTTCGGAGAGGACATGGAAGAAAATGAAGGGATGTTACCAGAGATATGATCTGAGGCACCTGAGTCAAGAATCCATGGACTATGACCTTCCATAGATTGAGAGATGCAGGCAGTTGACACATTTGGCATTGATGAGGATTGGCCAAGATTAGAAGATTTTTCAGACTTGTACCTAAAAAACTCTTGGTACTCTTCATCAGAAATTATAGATTCTGAATTATCAGATTTAGACATATGAGCAGCTTTGTCTGGAAAGCCATGCAAGGAATAACATTTATCTTGGGTATGACCCATTCTCTTACAATATGAGCATTGAGGACGTCCACTTCGACCACCACGTTCTCCTCCATTGCTCCTACATCCTCCTCTTCCTCGCGATGTCACCATTGCTGATGTTTCAATAGCATCACTTAAATTCTCGTCTTTTACCAATATATGTACCCGAAGGAGTCGAGTAACTAAGCCATCCATCGACGGGATTTGATCACCAGCTAAAACTTGATCACGTACATGATCAAAATTAGAGTGTAAACTTTTCAAAATTAGGACCACGTAAAACTTGTCAAGCTTTTTGTTGAGATTTTCTAATGAATCAGCTACAAAGAAGTTCTTTAACTCTTCTACCGCAGCCCAAGCTTTTGCTACATGGGAAACCATATCATGGTTGACTTGTTTGAGAGAAGTTGCTCTTTGGGTTGCATCGAAAAGACGTTGTACATCATTAGCAAAAATATCTTGGGCCCTTTTCCAAAAAAAGGAGCATGTCTTATAAGGTCTCAAGATATCTAGAACCTCTTGCTCAACCGATTGCCACAAAATAGCACATAACTGAAAGTCTAATTTCTGCCATTGGGATTTTTCTTCATCTGGGACCATAGAAATATCTTGTTCAAGGTGATTATGGTGTCCTTGACCAAGAAACCACAATTCCACAGCAGAGGACCATGATAAATAATTTTTCCAATTCAGTTTTGCAAATGTAATGATAGGGGTAGCAGATAAAGAGGAATTACTTCCAGTAGAAGCCATTTTAAAACTGTGAGAAGAAATGGGACTTAGGGTTTAAAAAACGTGATGAAGAAAACCCTAGGTATGAGCCCAAGCCAATGAAACAGAGAAACAAAAACCAAAACACACTCAAGAAGCCCCAGCGAGACGATCTGCAGTGACGCGGTGTAACTTCAGCACCGGGAAGGCGGTGCGTGCAGAACATGCGGTCGAGACTGGCCGGAAAGAAGCAGCGCGTGGCGCCTGGTGCGGAGGCTTTGGAGGACGAGACCACCAGGGTTTGGTTGCGCTTCTCAAGGCGCACCTAACCCTTGACTTCGCCGGAGAAAACAACGTTGGGCGGCGGCAGCAGACAGCGGAGCGAACGGCATAAATGACAGAGAGACCATGTCGCCGACGATAGACGAAGAAGACACAAGGGTCTGGCTCTTGATACCAACTTGAAGTTGACAGAAAATGAAAAGTCTTATATTTTGATTAAGAAAGTCTGATACAACTTACTACTGTATTTATAGAAGACAGTAGTTTTGAAAGATAAAAGGGCGGGAAGCCCCTAACAAAACCCTAACATAAATATTAATAATAAAATAAAGACATTATACTTCAACAAACCTAATTTAACGACAAAGAGCCAATTGAGTCAAATTTTCACTTTTAAGGATCCAATTGGAGAAAAAATTAAGAAAGAGATCTATTTAGGAAAACCCAACATAAATAGGGACTACGGACTACAAAAGTGGTTTAACCCTTTTAAATCTAACAAGAAGATTCTTTTTATACGTGGGATGTGTCACATTGAGACCTAAGTACAAGATGGGGTCAAATTTGGACCACGCTTAACAAGTTATATAACAATGAACAAAAAGAATCACAGGTTGAATCATATCTCAAAATAACCTAGAGTATGTAGTTAAATAAATATGGATTATAATAGGAGATTGAGAGTATATGAAAGGAGAAGGAAGCGTTAGTTAGCCTAACTGCCCTGACAGTTAGGAAAGGCGGGAATGAGTCTGTATAAATATATAGGCTTTGTTAGTTGTTGGGGGACTTTAGACTGTGGGTAATCTGTACAGGAATTGTTAATCCTGTAGGGGAAGGTTAGGCTCTCATAGTGGCCTTATACTTGTATTCTTTCTGTTGATAATAAAAAGAGAGGTTATACAGTGTTCTGTTAGTGCATTTGTGGTATTAGTTTGGGTTTCTTGATCAGAAACCTATCAGATTACGTGCATATAACCTAAAGAATAATTATATTGAATAATATAAATTCATGCATATAGCTTCAATTAATCATTTTGAACAAACTGTGACCAAAAGACTTGCATGTTAAATTTTATCCCAATAGTAACATAAAAACCTTTTTCCTAGTCAAACAAGTATATTAAATAATAACTAACATAAGTTCATTTAAGCATGCGACTTGAAATTTTAGACAAATTAACAGATATATATATATATATATATATATATATATATATATATATATATATATATATATATATATATATATATATATATATATATATATATATATATATATATATATATATATTTGGTAACAATTATCCTTCTAAGTTGTTAGAGTTACTTCGCACAACATACCAATTTCTACTGTAGCAATTATTTCCAAATTTATATGTTAAATCATTATCGTATGTTAATATATCTGTTTCGAATCAGATTTCAGTAAAACTAAAATCAAGATCAGATAAAAAGTGATAAATATTTATGCTTCGTTATTTTTCCACCTGATTGCAGCAAAAAAAAGAGAAAAGTTCTTTAGGACTAATGGGGGAGTATGATTTCGTTCTTTATTCTGATAGATAGTCTAACCTGCGCCAGAGGTTTTCCCAACACCTTCCACCTTTTTATCGTTGGAATCCTTCAACAAGCAAGCATAACCCGACCTCTTTGTGGAAACATTAACTATGCCCGGCGCCATCTTCTGTTCAGAATCTGAACAATGACCTTTGAAAGGCTTCATATAACAAAACCTAAAATAACAAGCAGAAATCACAAATGATTATAACTCAGCAAATGCAAACAAACTCTTTTTATTTCACTCCAATTTACAAGTAACATCAGAATTTTTGTGTGAAATATCTTTTAACATACCATTCCAAAGGCAATTTTCTGCTATCAAAGTCTGTAGGTAATATTCTCCACTTTCTGCACTTGTCACATTGAACCCACTCATGATCAGGTTTGAAGACACAATTATCTTTGTTCTGCATAAGTAATAAAAGTAACAGTTAGTATAAGACCCAGGGTATGAAGATACGCATGTCAAAGTTCTGATTTTTGTCATGCAAGTACAGAAGTGTAAATCTACTTTATCTAATATCCTGTTTAATAACACGTAACTATACAGGAATCAACGTCTTACAAAGAGAAACAAGTAAATGCCATTCTTACGACATACCTCTGAGTAAAGCAGACATTGTAAAATTTAAATTGAATACGTGTACCAAATTCAATTAAACGAAACAACCTCAGATGATGGCTTATTTTGATAGAATAATAACAAGAACTTCAAAAAAGAACCATAGTTTTGGTAGAATTTAAAAGAAGTGTCTTTACCAACTCAAGGGCGTCAAAATTGTTGTCCCAGTATTCATCTACTTTTCTACTCAGCCACTGCTCAAGACATGCATATTGTTCTGAGTCTTGGAATCCCTGCTTGTTATTGTGTACCCACACCCGGCCATCCTCGTCATCCTATGAAAAAGAAAGAAAAATGTACAAGAATTTAGGTGTTGCAAAGAGCGAGAAAAATTCTACTGAAAATAAATAATTTGTTGAAGAATTGATTGCAATGACATAAGTTTAATCAAAATTTGGAAACAAACCATCAGAAAAAGTTCCAGAGGAAAACATGGCTTGCCTAATTATCAAAGGACCATTCAAAATGTGAAAAGACAAGCTAATTTTTAATCATCCATAAGAAAAGATGCACAACACTGTTAAAGTTAACGAGCACATAAATTTAACTTGTCTCGCTTTCTGGAAGAAACCACAAGTGGTGAAGCAACTCACCTTATCCACAGTTGAAACAAAAAGAATAATTGTATTTTAGCAATATTATACTAGTGCATATAAAAGCTCTAGCCCAAAAGCATGAATTCTCAAAAAATTTCTTCCCCAAATTGGTCACCCCATTAGCTTTCCAAGTTAGGATCAGAAGTGACCAACTCTAACATTTTGAACTGCAACTCAAGAAATTGTAAAGCACTCAGTCATATCATATGGCAGATTGTACAAACACAAATATGTTTGTCAAATTAAATGGAGAACAACAAAAAGTTCAAACGTATCTTTCTAAACACTTTCATTAAGTAAAATTCATGTAGAAATTGAATTCCACCAAATAGTAATGTTTGTAAGAGTGTTTTGCCAACACCTCAAATGAATGAATCAAACCAAGAAGCAAGCATACACTTATTAGTCCAACAAGGTTACACTATGGAATACAGGCAAACCAATAAGAAAAAGACATACATTAACAAAATGAAAACGGAAAATAAATACCATTAAATTGGTCACATCAACAACACCAATTACACCCCGGCCAACATCTGCACTATGAGTCATTCCACCAACTCTCTTGTAAGCCTGAGAAAAACAAACAAATTTAGGCTTTTACAAAATGTATTCAAGTTAAGCATACGTAAAATACCTGAAAATCCAAAACCTCCATATTTCAGGGTATTCCATGACTATTTTAGTGGCTATTAATCAACATTAGCAAACAAGCCAACTCCTCACCTCAATTAGGCGACCATGCCAATACAAAAACATTCCACAGTTGGCCCGCTCCCACTCTAATTGACTAAATCCAAGAATTAATTCAACTGGCCTTCTCAAGATGTCACCAGTTTCAACAATAGTTTGAGTAAGGAATTTTGATAATGGTCGACTTTTAACCTGATCAAAAACAAAAAGAAAAACAATTAAATAATAGACTTGGAAGGCTCCTCCCCTAACAAACAAATTGAAACACAAGAATGCTATTACCAATGTTCTTTGTACACTTATCTTCATTCGAGGAACTAAAAATATAATTTCTAAATAAGCTCGTAGTGAGTAATCCAATGGTACCTGCAGACAATACAAAATATTACAAATGCAACATATTTTCAACTGACAATATCTTTAGTGAAAGAGATGCCAAACCTTTTGACTAATCTGGCCTGGACGAGAACGAGTCCTCTTGCTTCGGATAAGAATGTCACCTTGGTGAAAAGAACTCCCACCTTTTAGTCCATCATGCCATTCTAAACAATACTTTGATCCCCATTCATCCAAGTTCCATATGTATATTTGTGTTCCTGTACCAGTACCAAACAGGGCTGCCTTTTCACCAATAAGATACTTGTTAAATGGTGAAAAATCCTTAATAGCTTTCAAATTGTATTTTGCCAAAGCTTCAGACTGCATACTTAGGTCAATTTCCATACGTTGTCCTTGTCGGCAATAGCTGACTATGGGAATTTCAATATTCTGCACTCAAATAAAATATTTAAGCAGAATAAAAATTAAAAGAATTCAATTAACTTCTGGAGTAGTCAATTAATTCCAATCAACATAGGGAATATTTAAAGGGTCAACTTTTTTAATATGGTGTAACTTACATCTTTGCCTTCATTCAATGATTGTGAAAGAAAAGCTAGAGATCTGGAAGTAGTTGTTTGTGTTAGAACCAGAACATCTCTCCCAAGCCTCATTGCTCCTGTCTATGGAAGAAAGGCAAAAAGAACAACACTTCAGAATTCACCGAGGCAAGAACAGATAACTGAGTTTGAAAAAGACATTATAATTTATATTTTATTCCAAATTAGCATGGAACCAAAAGCATGAAAGTCCATCCAATAGAATGCACCAAAGTTAAACCACAGTAGTTAACCTAGTACATAAACCCCAGATATAAAAGATAGCAGCAATTTATCCAATCCCATCCTAAAAGACCATTAGCTAACCTAGTTAAGCCCAAACATTAAAGAAAGAAGCTATTTATCCAATCTTGTATCGTAAAAAACCAGCTATAAGTTAGAGTTCATAGGAGGCAGAGAGGAAAAAGATAAGAGAGAAAACTACTTTGAATCCAACACCAAATTTGCCAATGCGGTCCGTGTCAACTTTATGAGATTGCTTGTGCCCAAAAGATACCATTTTCATAACCTCATCATGGTTCATCCCTTGACCATCATCAATAAGACACAGCATCGGAACATCCTTCCGAGATTTCTTCAACTGGATGATATCTACAAAAATGTCCATTCTGAAAGATAAATAAAAATAATAAGTACAATTTGAGGAGACTAAAGATAAATAAAATATATTTAAGAGAACTTTAATCGCCTCTCATACGTTCTCATATCTATATTAATATTTTTCTTGTACAATGAGTACATGGAAGAGTAAATATGAAAAGCCAAAAGTAGATTCGTAGGTAAATAAGACCTATTCTAATGCTCTCCTTCAAGCTCTATACAAATTGCATGTACCAAGCTTAGAACAAATAAATTAAACACAAGATCCTTCCAAGGATTTTGTTAATGCATCTGTAAGTTCATCATTGGATCTGAAAAACTCATTACAAATTTCCTTGATCAACAACATCAACTTTACCCAAATAACAAGGTCAATTTTTATGTATTCAGTCATATCTTTGAATACTAGATTGGAAGCGACATGGATAGCAATTTGATTATGTTAGGTTCTTTATCCAAGAACCTAAGAAAAACTCGCTCCTTACTCTTCAAACACACACTCCGACAAAGAAATGCTTCTTTTATTCACTTCCAATCAACAGAAATAATACAGAGTGCTTAACCTCTCCCCCTCAGGACAATGAGTCTTGATCAACAATTCAATAAGGCCAAAACAGATCCCTCCCCCAAACTAATCACAATTATTTATACAAGTTCAAAAGCTTTTCCCCGCTCCCCCTAACTGCCCAAATAGTTAGACCAACTAACTATGTTTCTTTCTTCTCTCATAGACTGATAACGGTCTAACATTACTCCCCCCTCCTTCAGCAACCTTGTCCCCAAGGTTGAATTCTGGATATTGATCCTGCATCGTTTCCACGTCTTCCCAAGTTGCTCCATCTCTTCCTTCTTCATGCCACTCCACTAATACTTGGTGCATAGGCTCACCACCCTGCTGTCTGGTTCTCCTTTCTAGAACTTTCACTGGCCAATAACTGGGTTCCATCAGCCTGTAACTCTGCAGGCAGCTCCCTTTCTATCCTTTTCTCCCCCACCCCTTTTTTTAACTAGGAAACGTGAAAAACAAGGTGTATCCTGGCTGTTTCAGGTAACTGTAAACGATAGGCGACCTTCCCAATTTGCTAAATCACCAGGAATGGTCCATAATACCGAGCTGCAAGTTTTGGATGTAACCTTACAGGCATAGAAGATTGCCTGTGGGGTCTGATTTTTAAGTAGACCCAATCCCCCACTTGAATGTCTACCTCTCTCCTTTTTTTATTTGCCTGGCCCACCATCATATCCTGTGCCCTGCGTAAATGGAATTTTAATTGTCGCAAAGCCTCATCCCGGGTTATTAAGTCCTGAGCCACCGTTTCCACCGCTATCTCCCCCAGAATAAACCTGCTCAATGATGGGGGTGCCCTGCCATAAACAATCTCGAATGGAGAGCACTTCGCAGCGCCCTGGTAGCTTGTGTTGTACCAGTATTCAGCCCACGGTAACATCATTCTCCAGTTTTTGGCCTGCTCAGAGCAGAAACACCGCAAATATCCTTCTACAATGCAGTTCAAGACCTCCGTTTGTCCGTCAGTCTCGGGATGATATGCCATACTCATCTTCAATTGTGTTCCTTGCCTTTTAAACAATTCTTTCCAGAATATACTAAGGAACAGGGGGTCCCTGTCGCTCACAATCGACACCGNCCTTCCGAGATTTCTTCAACTGGATGATATCTACAAAAATGTCCATTCTGAAAGATAAATAAAAATAATAAGTACAATTTGAGGAGACTAAAGATAAATAAAATATATTTAAGAGAACTTTAATCGCCTCTCATACGTTCTCATATCTATATTAATATTTTTCTTGTACAATGAGTACATGGAAGAGTAAATATGAAAAGCCAAAAGTAGATTCGTAGGTAAATAAGACCTATTCTAATGCTCTCCTTCAAGCTCTATACAAATTGCATGTACCAAGCTTAGAACAAATAAATTAAACACAAGATCCTTCCAAGGATTTTGTTAATGCATCTGTAAGTTCATCATTGGATCTGAAAAACTCATTACAAATTTCCTTGATCAACAACATCAACTTTACCCAAATAACAAGGTCAATTTTTATGTATTCAGTCATATCTTTGAATACTAGATTGGAAGCGACATGGATAGCAATTTGATTATGTTAGGTTCTTTATCCAAGAACCTAAGAAAAACTCGCTCCTTACTCTTCAAACACACACTCCGACAAAGAAATGCTTCTTTTATTCACTTCCAATCAACAGAAAGAATACAGAGAGCTTAACCTCTCCCCCTCAGGACAATGAGTCTTGATCAACAATTCAATAAGGCCAAAACAGATCCCTCCCCCAAACTAATCACAATTATTTATACAAGTTCAAAAGCTTTTCCCCGCTCCCCCTAACTGCCCAAATAGTTAGACCAACTAACTATGTTTCTTTCTTCTCTCATAGACTGATAACGGTCTAACATTACTCCCCCCTCCTTCAGCAACCTCGTCCCCAAGGTTGAATTCTGGATATTGATCCTGCATCGTTTCCACGTCTTCCCAAGTTGCTCCATCTCTTCCTTCTTCATGCCACTCCACTAATACTTGGTGCATAGGCTCACCACCCTGCTGTCTGGTTCTCCTTTCTAGAACTTTCACTGGCCAATAACTGGGTTCCATCAGCCTGTAACTCTGCAGGCAGCTCCCTTTCTATCCTTTTCTCCCCCACCCCTTTTTTTAACTAGGAAACGTGAAAAACAAGGTGTATCCTGGCTGTTTCAGGTAACTGTAAACGATAGGCGACCTTCCCAATTTGCTAAATCACCAGGAATGGTCCATAATACCGAGCTGCAAGTTTTGGATGTAACCTTACAGGCATAGAAGATTGCCTGTGGGGTCTGATTTTTAAGTAGACCCAATCCCCCACTTGAATGTCTACCTCTCTCCTTTTTTTATTTGCCTGGCCCACCATCATATCCTGTGCCCTGCGTAAATGGAATTTTAATTGTCGCAAAGCCTCATCCCGGGTTATTAAGTCCTGAGCCACCGTTTCCACCGCTATCTCCCCCAGAATAAACCTGCTCAATGATGGGGGTGCCCTGCCATAAACAATCTCGAATGGAGAGCACTTCGCAGCGCCCTGGTAGCTGGTGTTGTACCAGTATTCAGCCCACGGTAACATCATTCTCCAGTTTTTGGCCTGCTCAGAGCAGAAACACCGCAAATATCCTTCTACAATGCAGTTCAAGACCTCCGTTTGTCCGTCAGTCTCGGGATGATATGCCATACTCATCTTCAATTGTGTTCCTTGCCTTTTAAACAATTCTTTCCAGAATATACTAAGGAACAGGGGGTCCCTGTCGCTCACAATCGACACCGGAATCCCATGCAACCTAACCACCTCTTGAACAAAAACCTCCGCCACTATTCTTGCTGAATAGGGATGTTTTAATGCTATAAAATGTCCATACTTACTCAATCTGTCCACCACCACTAACATTGCATCGTAACTATGAGATTTTGGTAATTTGACAATGAAATCGATGCTCATCTCTTCCCACACTGCCTGAGGAATAGGCAGAGGTTGGAGTAGACCCTGCAGTGATGCTGCCATATATTTATGTTGCTGGCATATTACGCATCCAGCAACGAAGTCTGTCACGGTTTTCTTCATTCCCCCAGTATAAGGACTGCGCCAGCCTCCTCTACGTCCTGAACACTCCTGAATGTCCGCCTGTGCTGGTCACATGGAATTCGGCCAATAATTTGGGAATCCAACTAGATGTAGCGGATAGCACCAACCTTCCTCTATAATGGAGTCGTCCATTCTCCAGAGTATATGGTGTGTGACTATTTGGGTCCTCCTTAAGCTCCTGAACCACCTTTTTTAGTGCTTCATCTTCCTCAACTTCTTTCAACACCTCGCGGAAATCATACCAATAAGGCCGTGAGATGGCTTGCAGCTCCATATCTTCCGTAACTCCTTCCCCTTTCCTCGAGAGGGCATCAGCCACTTTGTTTGAGCTCCCCACCTTGTATATGATGTCAAAATCATAACCCATGAGCTTAGCTATCCAATTTTGCTGGCTGTGGGTTGTGATTCGTTGTTCCAGCAGGTATTTCAAACTGCGTTGATCGGTATATACCACAAACCTCCGTCCCAATAAGTAGGGCCTCTAGTGTTGAATGGCCATTACCAAAGCCATAAGTTCCTTTTCATATACTGACTTACTCGGAGATCCCCCCGATAACGCTTTACTGAAGAAAGCAATAGGTTTTTTATTCTGCATGAGTACTGCTCCCACACCTATTCCTGAGGCATCACATTCCAGCTGAAACTCTTGGTTAAAATCTGGAAGAGTCAAAACTGGTGCCGTGGTTATGGCTGTTTTCAAATTCTCCATGGCCGTCTGTGCTGCTGGTGACCACTCAAAACTCCCCTTTTTTATCAAGTCTGTCAGAGGTTTGGCCATTCTCCCATATCCCTTCACAAATCGGCGATAATAACCCGTGAGGCCTAGAAACCCCCTCAAAGCCTTTAAATTCCTTGGTTCTCCCCACCCTAACACCGCCTGCACCTTCTCCGTGTCCATCTCCACTCCGCTTTCAGGTATTACGTGTCCTAAGTAGCCAATTTGTTGCTTCCCAAACTCGCATTTACTTTGGTTGGCTACCAATTTCTGCTGTCCCAGTAACTGCAACACCGAGCCCAGCTGTTCGAGGTGATCTCCCCATGTCTGACTATACACGAGGATATCATCGAAAAAAACTAGTACAAATCGCCTGAGGAAGGGCTGCAGCAGGTTGTTCATGGCGTTCTGGAAAGTTGCTGGGGCGTTGGTGAGCCCGAAGGGCATCACCAAAAATTCGAAGTGACCCTGATGGGTGCGGAACGCCGTTTTTGGGATATCTTCCTCTCCCATTCGGATTTGATGATACCCGGCCTTCAAATCTATCTTAGAAAAGTATTTGGCGCCATGCAGCTCGTCCAACAACTCCTCTATCACAGGAATGGGGTACTGATCGGGGACAATTGCCTTGTTAAGTACTCGGTAAT